TGTGCGTTATTTAGTCAAAATAATTCATACATTTGGGAAAGGATCCCTTAGAAAATATCAGCTAAATACAGAGGTGGAGTTCTTGAACTATACTTGAACTATCACACTTTTCCATTGCCTCCTGCTAAGACATAAGGGAAAACTCAATGCCGTACATCTGTATAGTGTTCAAAAATGAATAAGGAAGGGGCTACTGGGTGGCTCAGTGGGTTAAGCCCCTGCCTTCGGCTCAGGTCATCATCTCAGGGTCCTGGGATCGAGCCCCGCATTGGGATCTCTGCTCAGCAGGGAGCTGGCTTCCCCCTGTCTCTCTGGCTGCCTCTCTGCCCACTTGTGATTTCTGTCTGTCAAATAAATAAATAAAATCTTTATAAAAAAATGAATAGGGGAGAGAAGGAGCACAGAGGACTTTTAGGCAATGGGACTATTTTTTATGATGCTAAATTAGTGGATATATTAATAATAGGGAAGTTTGGGTAGGGGAGGGACTTAGGAGTAATATGGGGACTCTATATTTTCTGCTCAATTTTGCTATGAACTTAAGACTTCTCTAAAAATTAAAGTCTATTAAGAAATAAACAAGTGGGGCACCTGGGTGATTCAGACAGTTAGGTGTCTGCCTTCAGCTCAGGTTATGACCCCAGGGTCCTGGGATGGAGCTCAGTAGGGAACCTGCTTTTCTCTTTCCCTCTGCCTGTTGCTCCCCCTGCTTGCGCACTCTCTCTCTGTCAAGTAAATAAATAAAATCTTAAAATACATCAAAAATAAATTAAAAAATAAACAAGTAAATGTATAGGGGAAATTACCTACTTTTGTATGTGCATACATGCATATATATATGCATAAATGCATATATGGTAAATGAGACTATGTACATGAGTACGTGTGTGTGTGTGTGTGTATAAAAATGAGACTACATACATAAGTGGGCATATATATATATATATATATAGACAACATGTGAACTAGCCTATGCACCTACAGTTTATGATACTGTATATACATATATTCTCAATCTTCAAAGAGGCTTTTGAGATAAATATGTTTGTCATTTTAGAGATATGCAATCCAATACTTAGAATGTTTAAGTGTTTTCCGAAGTTCACACAACTCTAAGGACCACAGCAAGGATAGCCATAATTTATTTTATTGACCATTATTTATAATCATATTATTACCTTTCTTTGCCGAATTTATAGCAATACAACTGAAATGTAGGAAGTAAAAGTGGAATGTGATGTGTGTTAAAGGTCTGCTTGTATTTAAAAATGAACAGAGTTAAACTAATGTCACAGTAATGATGTACTAGCATTGCTGATAAAAGATGTAGCTGACCCAATGCAGTAGCCCAAAACACATGACCAGGACTGAGGAAGAAGAAGGTGAATGACCTTGGAGACATCTTAACATTTGACTTCTTTCATAGTTATTAAATATTTTAAAATTCCATGTGGTGCAGGACCCTAAAAGGATTTGTTCACAGGGATTTAGAAGGTAAAACTTAGTCATATGATTGTAAAATCATGAGGAAAATTCCAATTTAATACTTAGAAATGTGTGATTTTTTAACGATGGATTTATAATGTTTCTACATAGTTGATAGGAATTTGCATTTTTTAATTGAGTTTGGGTAGTTCCTCCCACAATATAGGTTTGATTGAAAGATGGCAGTGAAAACAAAAACAAAAACAAAAACACTCTATTTCCAGAGAAATTCAGGAGATGGAAGTGTGTGAATTCTCTGGTAATCTGGTATGTCATTAAACCTCAATTACCTCCATATACTCACTCATACTGTCTATCATCCCTGCCATGCCAGGCATCCTCTGTCTCCAGATTACAATGGTCTAGGCTCACAAGAGGCATTCTCTGCCATAACAAAACTACCCGAGTCCCAGCCCACTGCACAGGCCACATTCTCCAGCTTGCTTCTCCTGTAGGAACTTCCTCTCACGAACTACTCCCATATGTCATGTCCAGTAAAGAGCATCAGTGGTAAGTCTTCTATTACTTTTCTAAACTGTTCTCATTTAGTCTGATTAAGTGAGAAATTAAAATTTTACCCTTGTTTTTCCAAATTAAAATAATATCAGAGTATATCCTTTCTTCAAGATATCTTTAAATTATTAATGTTGCAAGTAACCTTCTTGAATCTATTCCAGGTTAATATACTATTGGCTATACATATTTATAGATAAATGAAGAAATATTTACAAGGTTTTTTTTTTTTCTTTATTGAAATGAAATGGAGAATTACACTGATCACCAGGAAAATAATAGGGTCTAAAACTTGCTTATCTTTTATGAGATATATAGATTGAGAAACACATTTATACTATTTAAGAAAAATAAGATATACTTTTAGTTAAGTGCTAGAGTAATTTTTTTTTTTAAAGAAAATTGACTTTGAATCCTTCCTAGGAAATCTATACCTGTAGACTTATTTTAAAGAATAAAGTTTGGCAATCATTGAAGCCAATAAATCAGAGCAGAATCTTCAAATTCAAATATCAGACATACCTTTATGACCTATGCAACTTTTGGTGATTAATTAGTTATTTGAGTTTTCATAAGGTTAACGAATGCCTGCTTTAATAACACCTTGAGTAATCATAATGGGAATTTTGTTTTTCATGTGGTCCATTTTAACAGAAACCAATTATTGCACTAAGATCTACTATAGCATGATTATATTTTTTTGGAGTGTATATTAAAGAGGGAATTAATTTGTATTGCTGAATGTCATTGGTAGCACTGTTTTCATAATTTATTTGGCATACGTTTATATTCTGGCAACTCTTATTTAATTTTTATGAATAGTTGAGATGTACACAGCATCCTTCCCCCTTTCTCTTTCAATAACTGTGCTACCTTTCACGAATCTGCATCTTACAAGAAATATGCTTTGCCTTTTTCCACAGGTGAAGCATACAGCCTAACTTGACCAACCAATCCAGTATACCCCTCTATCATAGGAGTTCACTAAAGGTAACTCTTAGTATGCTGAATTCTAGAAATCTGGTTTTCTCCCTTCCTCTCTACCATGTAGTGTATAGGTATAAAGTCTAGAACAGCTATAACCATATGCTACCAAGTAGAAAGTTAATCTGAGAGGGACAAAGCCAAGAAAATCCATCCAGGCTCTAATCCTATTTAATGTTAAACCCAGTTTAATTCTTCGAAGTTGTCACATAAGATAGTGATTTTCTTGTAATCATTTACCAATTTGAGTTGGGCCTGTACTTACTTTCAGATGAAGTATAAAATGGATAAGAAATTTGTTACCAGGAGTGGAGTTACAAGTAACAGGCTAGAATTCTTTAGAAGTGAGGAAATTCGAAAGACCATTCTCACATGAGAAGTTGAAAATCCTTCTTTTACAGTTGCACAATGGTTGGTTAAAGTGGTGTTCTTATAATTTGGGCCTCAGGGCATGTGCTTCCAACAAGACAGCCTTAGGCAACTGAAGTGGGAAAGAAAAGAAGGATAATGGATTCTATAGTCTAAAAAGAAAACAATCTTGCTTTGTTGTGCACTACTCAAACCAAAGAGAAAAGAAAACTTGGCCAAGACTGGCTCTTCTGTCTTTAGTCTACAATACAAGTATACTAAATTTAATTTTCAAGGACCATGACCCCCGCCCCCGCCCCATGACTGGAAAAGCTGAATTACCCACAACAAACCAAATAGAAGGCTATCAAAAGCAGAGATGAGAGGCACGGTGTGAGAAAACAGATGAATGGGAAATATATGGCCTTATTCTAGCATATTTTTCAAGCACTGTCTCCCGAAAAAAGTATAAACACTCACATTATGGAAGTGAAATCAAAATGAAGGTTGAGAAAAGGAGATAAATAAAATACTCACCCACTACACCCATCCTTTCTATTGGCTTCAATAAAGATACTATCTATATACCTATATATCCATGTATACCTTAGTATACATACATATCCAAAATAGGGCTCATACAGAATGTTTCCCCAATTAAAGATGAAAGCAGCACTATAATTATAACAGTATTTTTGACAGACCTTTCATAAGACTATCCACCTGATTTTCAAAGTACTTTAGGTTAGTGTGTTAAGTTTTTTCCGTATGTAATTAGCTGACCTTCTTTTTATAGCTATAAATCAACTAAGCATTGTTTTTCAAAATGATTTGCAGGTTAAATAATATTTTTCCCAAGTTGCTGAGGATACCAAACTTATAACAAGCTTCATTAAGAATAATTTTTAATAAACATAGCAAAAAAGACTAAGTCTGATTTCCTTTTACGTAAATATTTAATTATTTGATTGCTAGTTTACAAGTGTTTAAATGGACAAGAATGATTTTACCTCTTCAATAACACTTTTATATTAATTCATGATATTTTGATTCAATATATGGTCATAAATCTCCACACATTACCCATTAATATTTTTAATGGGTATGTAATAATAACAACATTACATATAAAACACATCATTATTTTGGTGCTTTTACAAATCTTTTCTTCAGTTGTAAGTTCTAAAAAAACCAAAAGTTTAAAAATTCTAAGAATTAGAGAATACCGAAAACGTAATGAAGTTGAATTCCACCTTTATAATATTTCCATTTTATCCTAAAAGAGAACATTAAAAAATGTGACATTGCTATACCAGACCACCTTGCTAATGGTATAAAAGATTGCCAGGAGCAAGAAATTGTGTCACTGATATGTGGAATTTTTAGTTATATCTACAAATTATTAGGAAAAATGTTCAAAATAACAAAACAAAATATGGTGGTCATCCCTGAACCGTTTGATGTTGCTTAGTCTATATCAAATTTTTTCCCACTCATAATAAGCATCCTCCCCTCAAGTGCCTTTAAAAAAATACATTACACAGTACAATAACAGAAATCAAAGACAGCACAAACTATTTTGAAGAACAGAAAAATCTGTAGCACACAAAGGTATCTTATAGTAAAGAGCAGACTTCTTTGGGGACAGTAATCAATTAGCGTGTAATTCATTATGAAGATTTCTCTTTCCTTTTATGCGGAGAGTCTACTCTATTTGAAGTTGCTACACCATTTTCTGTTCCTTTTCTAGAAGATCTCCCTTTAGTCCGTTTCTTCTTCACAACGGGGGCCTGAAGAGTAGTGTCTTCCTCCATCCACCTCTGAAGCTGGACATTAAATAAATTCCATGTTATGTACGCTTGGATGGTGCAACTGGATGAAAGAACAGCAATTTTAGCTGCCAACACATTTACATTTCCACCAATAGCATCTGGATTCCGATTCTGCCCTTCGGCCAGGTGAAAGCCAACAGTCACCACAGACACAATTAAAGTCACAAGTCGACCCAAAATAAACACAATTGCCCACAGTGAAAACTCTTTCTGGTACTTTTCATCACTAAAATAAAACAGGTCACAAATGTGAGAAAGTAACTCAACAAAGTAGTGCATCATCAAAAGAACAAGTCCCAGATGATTCAAGTACAAGAGGTAAGCTCCAGCGATGTGAAAGAGGTGAAGGCCAATGTAGACAAGTTGACGAGGGATATCTTGCTTTTTGATTCTCTGAAAATAGAGTTCAGGAAAGGCATGAAACCAGTAAGCCAACTGTGATATGTAGAAAAACTTCATTTGGAAGGTCATCATATTATGGGGATGAGCCCTCCATAAGAGAGTTGGGTCTGACAGACAGTTTTCAGAAATTAGAATGAATGTGCCCCAAATACAAGAAACCAGGTAGAATACACTAAACTGGCCAGATTCGTTAAATTTGCTTTGTTTCGCTTTGGGGAACTGCATTCGCCTGTTAATTTTATCCAACACATACTCCTGAATTGTGGCGTGAATGATGATTGCCACTAGCATGTAGAAGAAAACCGTGGCCAAATCTTTGATGCCATAATAGTAAAGGAACTTTGATTCTGTGGCTCGCTCTTCTGCTGCAGGAAAGGTAACACTGTGCTGAAGAGTAATAAAAACGATAGATGCTTCGGCCGTTCCCTCGAACATAAGCCCCAGCACGAAGAACATCCCCACACAGGCGACGAGGTCCGCATGATTCTGCAGGATGAATTCGTGGCTCAGGACTGGGGGGTTCTTGGTGCTCTTCTTACGAAACGCCATGGCAGCGCTTCCCAGATACTCACCGACGAGCCGCAGCTGCCTCCCCCTGGCTGCTCCTCACAGCGCCGCCGCTGCCGCAGCTCCCGGGGCTTCACTTCCCATCCCCGAGCCAGTCCCGGGTCGCGGCGGCCGCCCAGAAAAAAATAAATCAAAGGCAAGGGCCGAGCAGGACTGAGCATGCGCGCCAGGGGGACGGCGGAGGCAGGGAAGGAAATCGAGTGCCGCGCCCCTGCCCGGCGCCAGGCCCGGGGTTGCGAGCGTGGATCTTGCGCGTTGATCGTCGCCTCTTGAAATCCGCTGGCCCCGTCGGGATGCTCCCGAATTCTTTTTCAGTGGCATCTTCGTCAGTAATCATGACAAAGCAGGCTAGAACTCTGGTTGTTCTTCATCAGAATGGTTATAGAAACAGCATCATCCCCATAATGATGTTAGAAGCAAACTCTGACGGTGCTTAGCGTTTACAGGTGCTGTTCCGAGCACTTTGCTCAGATTTATAAATGCATCTTTTCTGGAAAACCCAATGAGGTAGATACTGGGTGATAATATCTTTTTTTTTCTTCTAATTTTTACTTTTTTTTTTTTTTTTGCAGATGAGAAACTGAGGTACCAAGAGGTTAAGTAAGATATGCCCAAGATCACACAGCTAGTAAATGTCAAAACCAAGATTTGAATCCAGTCTGGATTCAGCGCATGTGCTCTTCACTGTTGTACTGTATCGCCTCTTACTGTAAATCCTTCACACGTGGAAATAGTTCACTACAGCAACAACAAAACACTGTAAAAAAGATTAGTTGCCGTGTTAGCAATAACAATAACGGTGGCATTAATTGTATTTATTATATTTTTAAAGGGTGAGTGGTGGTTAGATGGGGAGAACTATTTATCAGTTCATAGGAAGGTATTTTGGCTATAAAGCCCAAAATTGATTTTCCTTACTCTAGCAGATAAGAACTTCGTGTTTCATTTTATGATGGTTGCATATAAATTTGCTAAAATACACATATTGAAAAACAGCTTTTTTGGTAAATGCTAATGCCTTGCTCTATTCGAATTTCATGTCAGTCTTTAAATTTCTCTTTGGATCTGGAGCAAATTTCTTGTTTCTTCTGGGTCTCATGAGATCATAATCATTACTGATAGTTAAAGTTTGAAGTTTGGAATATACATTTCAAAAGAAAAGTGCTACATGGTTTAAATAACAAAGCACACATTAAATTTAGAGTGGCCAATTGTCTTTTATCACTGTTACTCTGCATGTTGTGCACTAACAAAAGATGCAGTCCAATTGGTGTAATTACTTTTAAGATATTGAACAAAACACTCTAATCAATGTGTGCCTGCAATTCCTAGAACAGTCAAACAATTGCATATGGAATTTGTTGTAGACAACGTTCCTGAGTTAGGGAAAGTACTACATATTTTACCATAGTAAGACTTCTCTATTTGGTTTTCATAGCTGTTAGTCAGCTGTTGGCTCTGACAACTCAATTAGGAATGCTATTTGGTGTTAACTAAATCAGTGAAGAATTACAAATAGAGGTGCAGAAATTAGGGCACCAAGAAATGAAAAGAAAAAAAATCAGGCGCCTGGGTGGCTCAGTGGGTTAAGCCTCTGCCTTTGGCTCAGATCATGATCTCTGATCTGTGATCGAGTCCCACATCGGGCTCTGTTCTCAGCAGGGAGCCTGCTTCCTCCTCTCTCTCTCTCTGCCTGCCTCTCTGCCTACTTGTGATCTCTGTCTGTCAAATAAAACATAAAATATTAAAAAAAAAAAAAAAGAAAAGAAAAAAAATCAAACTTGTTAAAAGTAGTTGGGGGAGGGGGAAAAGGTGAAAGTGAAGAGCAGTGTCTTGTGGAAATCATCAAGAGTTTACTCAGGAAAATACATATCTACCTTTTTGTAACTTATCATTTTAAATAGAGAATTTATCAGTCTTTCTATAGGAACACACAATGGCTTTGATCACTTTGTGGCATACTAACTAAATATAAAAAAAAAACACTTGTGCAATTTGTGAGCTGAACTTCTGTTTATATTTCTGTTTGGCATTATTTTTGACAGGCTTTCCCACTCTACCTATGCAAATGTGATAGATGTTGCCCTCAGAAATCGTTCATATCAAAGTAAAGAGCACGAATGCTTATGCATAGATGTGAAATGTTATTTTATTACTGAAAGTGAGAAAGACCATTATGAGTTAGCCTAAAATTGTCTCTTAACTTTACAAAATCTTCCCTTGGTTTTTAAGTAGAGAAACTTCTTTAGCCATACAGCTTTCCTTTCTTTGAGTTTGTAACACCAAATGATATTCTGCAGTTTAAATTTTCAATTTAAGCTTTACGTTAAATATAGTCCAAGGGTAGGGCTTGAGTTTTAGATTTCACATTAATATCTTTATAAAAATATAAATATGTCAGACTTCTAAAATTATTGGAATCTGTAAGGGTATTGTAGTAATATATAACATGATGTTTGTTTCCAGTAGTTTTATTGGCACTTTTCTTTGACAAAGAATAAAGTGTGTATAACAATATTTTTAAAAATTTTGGTATCAGTCTATTGGTTATATAATTTCATGTATTTAGGGGGTGGGTATTCCTCCTTTATGCAGACCTCTGTGCCTATGGTAGATAATTATTAAATTCAAATGGAGACTTCTACTTTCAGTCATGAGAGAATAACTGATTGAACTTACACTCCTACTGTAAATAATTGGCAAACTGGACTAATTATATAAAATAACTTGTTTTCATATATTTGAAAACATAAGACTATAATGTCTGACAGAGAGGAGACAAGTGAGGTGAGCCCCACAATTGCCCTGAATATCTGCCTGGAAGCATTTTCCAGTCCACTGTGCAAGGGTCACCAGCTAGACCTCAAGGCCGGACTTTTACTGCCCACATGCATATATTCACCAACGTTTGTCCCACATTTTTCCTTAAGCTCTTCTTTCCACCTATCACTTAACTCAGGCAAATGGAAACTGAAACCATCCCTTGAGTGATAGCGACTGCCCTGACAAGACCTCCAGTCTGCCCAGACCACCCAGATCAGTTTGAGTGTCATCCCCCATTTGTGTATATGCACACGATCCATGGAGTAACCTCCAGAATGGTCAAGAACTACCTTTACCTCATTATAATGCTAAAATCTCCACCCATGGAGGAGCACAAGCCTCATTTACATAACATACAATATATGCATATGGCATGTTTCCTTAAGGTGCATGTTGCGAACTTAAGCCCACCTAGACATCAAAGAACAAGGATTCCCTATATAACTATTCCTCCTAATCCTAAACAAAAGGAAGCCATCTACCTTAGTTCAGGGAGTCACAGCTTTGGAAGTCATTCTCTTGATCTCCTTATTTTTTGCAAACAAAAGTTTTCTTTGTGGGACCCTTGTGTGGTTCATTTGGTTAAGTGTCTGCCTTCAGCTCAGGTCATGATCTCAGTGTCCTGGGAACCTGTCCCACGTCAGCCTCCTTGCTCTGCTGGGAGCCTGCAGCTCTCCCTGCTTGTGCGTGTGTGCTTGCTCTCTCGCTCTCTCTCTCTGACAAATGAATAAATAAAACTAAAAAGAAAAAGAGAAAAATAATGTTTTCTTTGTGAGACAACTCAACCTGATGCAGTTTCTGACTCACCAAGGAGCAAACTCACATTGATTCGCTTTTACAGGGAGGGGAAACCCTAAGAAGAGGCTGGAAACCTTGCTGAATTGAGGAGAGACTGGAGTTAGAAGATGCCGAAGCCACTGTGATTCGCTAGGCATTACAACTGCAGAAAAAGGCGATTAACGTGCTTCAGAAAACTGCAAGAGTCTTCTCTAGACACTGGTTAAAATACATGAGGCCAATCAAAGAACGATGGAGGAAATGTAAATGTTTCCAAGAATCCCTACAGGACTAGGGGACATTCAAGTTTGGAACAGTTGGAAAGTAGAATTCTCTGGGGATAGTCGTGAAACTCTAGTAGAGACCCAAGAAAAGTAAGGTTAAACTTGCCCTAGGGAAAAGTTAATTCACATTTATCCACATAAAGTTTTCAAGAATCCTTGAAAGGATCAAGGTGCCCTGCAAGGAACTTTACGGTCTGCTAGAAAAATCCAGTCCTCAACAATGGGAAATTCACATTGTTTAGCATCTAATAAAATTTATGAGGCAAAGGCTGGCTTCATCTGGAGCTATTTATCAGAATGCCTATATGTGGTCTCTCCAGTTGGTATTGTCATAGAGTAGTGGCTTTAGGCCCTAAGAATGAGTTTTCTTGTGAAACACACAGAAATTTTATGGCCCTTTGTGACCTAGCATTGGAAGTTATGTCCTGTCACTTTTCTGGTCAAAGTGGGCACAAAACTTTCAAGCTCAAGATGGGGCAGGTATAAGGGGAGGGGAGGGAGCATAGACATCCTTTGCATAAGAAGTGTACCACAGTATTTGTAGGTAATTTTTAGGTAGCCACATTCTTTCCTTTGATAACAAATGTTTCCTTTCACATGAAATAGACACTGTTTCTTCCAGATGCAAACAAAAGTTTCACCTCAATAGAGCAATAGTCTCAAGTTTGTTAGGTAGGAACTTGAAAGTTAAATTAGATCTAGGCACTGAAGGGCTCCTTGGGCTCCTTTCTTTGTTGCATTTATTCTTGATCTGAAGACATGTGAACTAAAGAAAAAAGGTTTCTGACTCCCATACACCAAAGGCATAGGAAACATGCAATAATCACTTCCATTCAAGAAGTGGGCAAGTGGGATGCACACTGCATTCAATGGTCAAACTTAATTATGATATCTATCCCTAAATTCCCTAAATCTTTGACATGAACCCAGTCTTCCTCACTGGGAAGTGGTAGATTATACATATCTGTATATATTTCTGCCCTTCAAAAACATAAATTTCAACTTGATTTTTTGTTAGTTTGTATATTTTAAAAGATAAAAGACCCTAGAAGCTAAATATATAATGTTAATTTGTTCTTGTTATTTTTGTCTTTGCAG